TGGTTTGGTTTATACTGATGGATCAAACAAAAAGTTCAGTGGCAGTAATTAACATCCATTTTCAGGTGTTTTATATTATCATCCAGTTCTTTAGTCCACAACCAACAGCAATAAGGATTCAAAGGAAGAAAGAGGACAGCCTCGACTGGGAGGATTGGCAGTATTTTGCTAGAAATTGCAGTGCTTTCGGAATGAAGAACAATGGAGATTTGGAAAATCCTGATTCTGTCAACTGTCTTCAGCTCTCCAAGTATGAATTCTTTTTGAGGATTACCTTTGAAGGCATTTAGGAGTTCATTTTAATAGACTAATGAGCTCGTGGTAACCCACATGTAAGCTAACTCAACGGGTAGACACTTCCTTCTCTCACCAACTTTGTTGAGGCAGATTTTTCCAAGACTCCTCCCTAAATTGAGTTGTAAACAATGTTTAAAATTCTGGTAAACAACTTCAGAGTCTTTCTTGCTTATTGTCTCATTTATGCGTTAAAATTGATTTTCAGATTGTTTAGAAAGTTTCCTTTATTAATAGAAATTTACTGTGTCCCCGAGGAGATGTTTTACTACATTTTTATGCAATGCTCCTGTATTGTTTGTGTATGAAATATATGGAATGTTTGTTTTCCCAGAATGAAGAATTTATTACTAATGTTATGCTGTGATTGTTATTTTGTCAAAAATGTGAATATTTTTTCATGATTTCAAACTTCTTTCATCACTAGTTTACTCCATATTCCCGTGGTAATGTCACCTTTAGCATCCTGACACCTGGACCACATCATCGTCCTGGATACAATAATTTCTATAATACCCCATCTCTTCAAGAGTTTGTAAAAGCCACACAAGTACGTCTTCATTTCCATGGACAGTACCACACAACTGAGACTTCTGTCAGCCCCAGACACAGATACTATGGGGTCAATGAAATCACCGTCACTGGAAGGTAGTGTTCATTACTGTTTCAAGTGTGCTTTTCATTATGAATATTGTTTTCAAGATTTTTGTCATACTTACTAAACAATACATTAACATTTTAGAGCAAGTCAGATACCAATCTTCATGTATTGAAATAGTTTTCTACTCTCAGATTTTGGGGGGGAGAGATCTGCCTTTGCTGTACATAATATCACATAAATTTTCAAAAGCTATTGGGTTTAGAAGTTAGGATATTCTGAAGCCAACTTAGAAATAATTTACCAAATATTTTACTTGCTTTTTTTCTGGAATATGATTTTCAAGTATTCTTGAAATCAAAGAGAAAGAACTAGATTTGGAATTGTAACTGTAGTGCCAGCTGATTTGTAAGTACTGGGCTGGGTCTCCCTAAGTTCACAGTTCACCATTTTATGAGGAATATTTATTTTCCCTTAAAGGAAAGATCTAATATACCCTAAGTATTTTATAAATACCTGACTGTAACTGAGAACATGGCTCACAATATTTAAACAAGTGAATAGCTGGAGAACTAACAGGCAGCAACCTCTCTACTATGGAAATGGCACACATACATAGACTATATTTAAAACTGTTTTGTACAAGAATGATATGCCCTATAAATAAAGCACATCTTTAAAAACAGATCAGAATATCAACATATAAATGTTACTTGTTAAGTAATAGCACAATGAAAAATAATAGTATTAAATATTCACCACCTAATTTAGGGGAAAAAACCAACAAAATTGAAATTTGTTACCTTTATTCTGTAGTTTATTCTAAACCTTATAGTCTTAGCTGTGTTTTCAGTAGTTTTAGTAAATGCCCTTTCTTGGCAAGCTTGCCACACGGTTGATAATAGGTGTAAACAACCTAGGATGGGCTTGAAAATCACCTTCACAATCAGTGTGGTTTGGATGTTGATGATGATCCTTTCAATGCTTCAGGATTAATTAAAAACTTTCATGACTATCCACAGGCTTAAAGAGAAACTGACTTTTCTGTTGATTTCCACATTTGTCTCCCTTGTTGGAGCCACATAGTGAATATATGCATAGACCTTTACATACATTAACAGTGGAGTCGGTGTTTCTGAGTTGTCGGATGCTCACATTCACAGGTGCCAGTGCCATGGTCATGCCGATAACTGTGACACGACAAGCCGACCCTACCGATGCCTCTGCTCTCAGGAAAGCTTCACTGAAGGACTTCAGGTGAGTTCCCTATTAATGATTGGAAATCTCAGAAAAGGAAGGGTGTTGAATATAAATTCTTGATTTGGTCTAACTTCTGGGTATGAAAAAAATAAATTAATATGAACTTGAAATGTTAACTATTTCAGAAAACTTTTTTGTAGAGAAAAATTAAAGCCATTAATAAACTCTAAAATTAATTTTAAAAAATTCTCTATGAAAGAAATAACAGCTAATACTAAACCCAGAGATTTTATTTTCCCTTTCTTTTTTCTTCATTTCATCAACATTATCATATTTTATAACAATGTTTAAGGTACCTGAAGAGATGGCACTAAAAAACGGGTCAGGTTACTGTATCTAAAGGGTAAATTTTTGCAAAGGTATCTAGAGAGATCTTTGTTTGCATCAATCAAATTTAATTCATTATTGATAACAGGAATTTTAAGTAATTTGAAAATCTACAGTAAGATGACTTACAAGTTATATTATTTTAGCTTGTCTATGATTATTATCCAGGTAAGTTTCACAGTTGAAGTAGAAATCTAGCTACATTTTAGGAATAAGAAGTAAATGAAGAAAACTTTTTGAGAGAGATTTATTAGACGTATTCAGCTTAAACATCAGTAACAGCTGATATGAAAAAGGGTACAGCAGCAGTAACAGTCACACCAGTAATAAAAGTGTAGTGTAAAGTCTTCAGTCAATGGTGTTTGAAGCACTCGGCTGCCAGTTTGTAAGAGAATTTAAGATGTGTGTGGGTTTTTCCTACACTAAGCAATTGAATTCTCTGTGGATGCTAACTGGGTGTCCTACAACTTAATTCAACCCTGACACAACTGGAATTAGCACAGACCCCGTGAGTTTAGGGCTTAGTCTCGTAAGACAGCCCTCTCTTTAGATGCCAACTGCAGGTAGTGGGTCCCCAGGTTAACAGCTTGTGTCTGATTCAGCTACAAGTTAGGAGTTCCCCTTCCCACTCCTTGTGTTTGATCATATGCTAGAATGGCTCACAAACTCAAGTAAACAGTTTACATACTAGATGACCTTTTATTATGAAAGGCTGCAAATCCAGAACAGCCCAGATGGAAGGGGTACATAGGGAGGGTGTGGAGGAAGGGGCACAGAGCTTCCATGCCCTCTCTGAGCATATCCTCCCAGCACTTTAATGCGTTTAGCAACCTAGAAGCTCTTTGAACCTCTTTAGCTAGAGTTTATACGGAAGGCACATTAAGCATGAATGATTAAATCATTAGCCATTGGTGATTGTGCGTGACCTCCAGCCCCTGTCTCTCTCTGGAGGTCCAGAAGTGGGGCTGAAAGTTCCAACCCTCTAATCACATGGTTGGTTCCCCTGGCAACCAGCCTCTGCTCTTAGAGGGTTTCCAAAAACCACCTCATTAACATAAAATCAGGTGGGGTTGAAGGGATTTGTTATGAATAAGAAAAAAAATGCTCCTTTCACCTTACTGCTCTGGAGCTATTTTAGAAGGGACTGGGGACAGAAACCAAATATTGTAACAAAATATGCCCCCATCACTCTTAACAGTACAGAAATTACAAGAGTTTTAGGAACTATGTGCCAGAGACTGAATATGTATTTTTTATTATGTCACAATCCCTAATACACAAAGAACACTTAAAGAATAATAAGAAAAATACAACTTAAAAAAGGAGCAAATATATTAACAAAAAATTTACAAAGAAGAATTGATAATTTTCAACAAATGCATGAAAGGTTACCCAACCTCAGTTTTAATTAGGAAAGTGGAATTTATAACAGAAGATTGTTTTTAACTATCTAATTAGCAGGAAGTTTCAAAATTGATAACATTTAGATTTGTGAGAATATGAACTTTTTATACATCATTGATGGAATTACTAATTGGTACAAAAGTTCTGGAGGATAATTTGGCCATATCTACAATAAAATGAAAAGTTGTAAATACAGTAAATTACATTATGTAATTGTTGTCATTCTAAAAAGCAATTCTTCAATGACAAGAGTATGGGATGGTTGTATTGGTATATTTTGTTACATAAATATGGAATTATGTGTTAGTATATTTGTCTTTGAAAACTCATAGATTCCTTGTGACTTGTGAACTTCCCTGCCTTCCAGACCTTGACCTGACTTGTGTTTAGTCCCTTCACTTCTCTGTGCACTTTGTTTTAGGATTTCATGGAATATCTTGTTTTTGTTTGTTTTTTTTTAAATATCTTAGAGGTTTTGGCAAATTCTTTTTCTGTCTTCTGAGATTCTTAATTAATCTAATTTGGTTTCTGACTACATTAGTGTGTATTATTCAGTGGCAAGAACATTATCTGAAATGCGGGCATCCTCTGGCATATTTAGGATGCAGTGATGATTCTCAGTTTCAACTCAGGGTCTTTGATTTGGTTCCAGCTGCCTTTCTTTCTTTCTGTGTTCTCGAACCCAAGTTTTCATGTTCTAATTCAGATGTCCCTGTGAACTTACTCTCCAGATCATTGCTTTACACTGCTGATCTTTTTATTTACACATTTAGTCTTTGCCACTAGCTGATAGTTACTTTGAAAGAAGGAATCTTATACACTTCCTGGATTTCTAACACTGGAGTCTTTGAATTTGATTTGATTAGTATATCATGAGAAAAAACCATCTTTTTAAAAAGCATTGATTTTATTGTTTAGTTGTATGGCTTATATTGTTACAGAAGAGAAATTAATTGGATTAAGTTGATTGATTGACTATTCAGCCATATATTGTGTTTAAATTTTTGGCAGTTTGATTTGTTCTTGATTTTTACAGTTAAATTGACATTTATTCTATTTTCCTTGGTATCTTCTTTCAGTCCTTTAAGGTAGACACTTCTTTCCTTTGCAGTCAGTGATTTCTTTCATTAATCTCACTCCTCCTTCCTAAACCCACTAATAACCCAATTAAAAAATGCTCAGGTGTGAAATGAGTAGAGCAGTTTGATCTGAGTATACCCATTAAGTGCAAACTGAAGACTGGCTAATACCATCGTATATTTGGTGTTTTCTGAGCTTCTCTTGCTTTAGTTTGACTAGTTTCTCTTCCCTTCCCCTACCCCCTCTCTTTCTCTTGGTACCTCATCCCATTTTCCCCTCTTCTTTCTCTTCAACTGCTCACAGTTAAGTGACTGATATTTTATGATTCTTGGATGATTTCATGCTTCCTCTTAAAAATAGAGCCATTAAATGACTCAAGGCTCATGATTGGTTTCAGAAGTCAAGTTGGGATTTTTCAGACTTGGTCTCAGGTGGTGACTGTTGGATTATGAACTAATGAAATAATTAACTATCATTAAGGTTGAGAATATGTTGTAATGCTACTTATTTTGACATTAAGTGCCCTTTGAAAACAAAAGTTTAAAAGTTGACTTGTCCGTTGCTTTCCTCCTTGACATATTTTGGTACTTCATGAATTTAGCCATAAATAAAAAAGTAACAAATACCATTCACTTAGCAAAGTTTGGCAAATGCAGCTGAAGGGAAAAAATCAATAGATTGTGTTAAGTTGAATGATTTCTCAGTCCTGTATTTTCAACAATGTGTTGAAAATGATCAATGATTTTATAAAGCATTTACAAGCATAGCCATCTCTTATTTTATCATTCATTGTATTTTAATACATGTGGGACTTATGTGTCTGAAAAAGTTGTCTTACAATAATTTGAAAATATACGTATTCAAATGTTTTTCACATTGTTCCACTTTTTAAAAAATATATTTTAATACAAGCCGTTCATATCCTATTTGAACCTTTTTAAAGATCTGGACATAATCCAAAAAGAATATCTTCAATTTCACAGTATTATGCTAGCCATTAGTAATATTACTCAATAAACAGGGCTTTTGTGAATTATATTACAGCCATTTGGCAAACAGATGAACGTAAGCCTTGAGAATATGCCAGTTCTTGGCAATTGTCAGTCCCATGAGAAAGTGTTTTTAGCGGAAGTGAAAATGAATGAAGCCAGGAGAAAAGAAGAAAATGGTAAATGCAGAAACAAGTTCATACATGAAGCCATTCTAGAGAATTTTCTGTATGAAACAGTCATCAGCTGTGTTAAAGTTGGTGTTACAAACTGGCGGTTGTTGGGCAGAAACAGTGTTTAAAAAGTTTTTATTTAATTTTTCTCTCTTTAAAATCTCTGGCTTCTCTTAAGTAGAAAGTAGTCCAACACTGTGCCCATGTTCCCCCTTGGCAATAACAGGATAACTCAGGATAGTAATTATCCTCTTTAGAGAATTATTACTTTTCATTTGCTGTCATATTTACTACTGTCCTTAAGTTTACATCTGGGTGGCTTCATGTCTGTTAACTACCTGGCCTACGGAGACCTTTAAGCTTCTGAACCCCACAAAGTGAACTGTAGGAACAGACTGAGACTTCCCAGAAGCTGGAAGATGTGATTAGTTATTCTGGGCAGAGCAAGATCAACAGTCTATTTCATAGTTCCTGTTTCTTTAGTCCATTCATAAAAATTAAAAAAAACTAACAAATAATAAAAACCTACTCAATCTATTACCGAAGACCCCACTAATTCTAAGGTGATTTAAGGCCCACTTACTTTTAAAGTATTCAGTTATATTTTGTGAAACTTAAGACACATGTACCTTGGGGAGGCTCACTGACTCTCCTCAGTGCTACTGGATTAGGAACTTTGACACATTTTGATATTGTATTGGCAATTTTAAGGTTTTCACTTTAATGTATTATGCATGCTGTAAATAATAATGGCATATTTCATTAATAGAGAATAATTTTCTAGTACTTGTCACCCCAAATGACTGACGCAGTGAATAATTAATTTACTGGGTCCATTTTAGGATGAATCTACGGCAAAACAAATCCCAGCAGACTAAGATAACTTTTGAACAGAGTTGTTTTAAAGTAGGTTTCAAGATTACATGGCATTGAACTTGCATGAATCATAGGATTGTTTGATACAGTTTTTCAATGATTAATTTTATTTGGATAATCATAATTACTGTTACTTGTATATGTATTT